TACTTCTGGAATCCGTAATAAAAAAAAAAAAAAAAAAAAAAAAAAAAAAAAAAAAAAAAAAAAAAAAAAAAAAAAAAAAAAAAAAAAAAAAAAAAAAAAAAAAAAAAAAAAAAAAAAAAAAAAAAAAAAAAAAAAAAAAAAAAAAAAAAAAAAAAAAAAAAAAAAAAAAAAAAAAAAAAAAAAAAAAAAAAAAAAAAAAAAAAAAAAAAAAAAAAAAAAAAAAAAAAAAAAAAAAAAAAAAAAAAAAAAAAAAAAAAAAAAAAAAAAAAAAAAAAAAAAAAAAAAAAAAAAAAAAAAAAAAAAAAAAAAAAAAAAAAAAAAAAAAAAAAAAAAAAATCCCCATTTTTCCAGACCTAACCCAAATTTTATAGACTTCTATAATACGAATTTATTTGACACTCTCATTTTTCCTTCATTTTGGAGGGTGTAGGACTTAGAAAAAAAAAAGTGAAAAAAAAATTTTCAAAAAAAAAAAATTCAAATTCTTAAAGTTGGTCCTACATGCCTATTTCGTCGCTCTGTACGTTGTCGAGACACTTTCATTTTTGAGTGGGACTGAAAAATTTCAAAATTTTGAAAAATCAGAAATTTAATTTTCGTGGGTGGGGGTATCGATGTATCTCGACGAGAGGAACAACTTTGTTCCTCATAACCACCCCCCTCCAGTGACCCCCCATCCCTCAAACGACCCTTTTAATGTTTTGTCAACTTTACAAAAAGTCCACAGCCCAAACGGTGACAGATACGACAAAATTGTATGGAACATTTTCGTCTTCTCTCAGGGCCTATTATATGAGAAAAATGCGAAACTTTTGAAATTCCGACATTTTTATTTTTTTTGTGACTTCAGAGCCCTCTATCTACGAAACCGTGAATCCTAGGGCAAAATTGTATACCACCTTTTGTGTTTGGCCCATCGAGATCTATGAGATAGCATCCTTGAAATTTTCAAATTCCGACATTTTTGATCCTATCCCCACCTAAAAAAAAGTCCTCAGGCCAAGGGGGGGGCTGGAGGGGGGGACCAATACCAGGGGAAGGTAGACCCAAGTGAGTACTATATGGAAAAAATCTAATCTCAAATTCGCAAGTTGTACTAACCCCTATACCTAACCCAGTGGAAGTAACCTCTAAAACCTGACCCCGTGTCAGTCACTCCGACCTAACCGACACCCGGCGGTCCCCGAACTGACCGAAATATCGATAAATGGTGGAATTAACCTAAATTCCCCAATTTTCCAGACATAACCCAAACTCCAAAGTTTTGATTGACATCTATCTTTCAGATCTCTTCGACACCCTCATTTTTTTTTCCCTTCATTTTTGAGGGTCGAGGGAAAAAAAAAAATAAAATAAAATAAAATAGTTGAAATTCTTAAAAGTTGGTCCTACATGCCTATTTCGACTCTCTACGTCGACTAGATACTTTCATTTTTTTTTTTTTTTTTTTTGAGTTGGACTTGGAAAATTTTCAAAATTTTGATATCCAAAATTAAATTTCGTAAGTGGGGGTGTCGATGTATCTCGTCGAGAAGAACAACTTTTGTCCTTATAGCAATCCCTTTCCAGCGACCCCTCTGGTCAGGAACTTATATTTAATGTTTTCACTGATACAGATTGCATGGCCTAACGGTGAAAGATACGCCAAAAAAAAAAAAAAAAAAAAATATATACACCCCGTTTTTGTTTTCTTTTGGGCCCTTGATTATAAGAAAATTATGAAACTTGATTTTCCAAATTTTTTATTTTTTTTATTTTTTGTGGGAAATCTGACTCAATGGATAAGTCAGAGTTCTTTTGACAAGCCCACGCTTGTCGTGTGATGTGATAAAGAAATTTACAATCTAGACTTAATTTGTAACTGTAAATATAATATTTATTTCACGAATACAATTTTATACGAACGTACAGGACGAACACCTCTATTGATCTGTTAATATAATATTTCTTTTTTTATTATTTTTTTTTATGCTGCTAGGCAACTCGTTACCAACACAATCCTTAAGCTTACTACGCTCGCTGCGCTAGTGAGGCATTAAGAATTCCTCACATTTTGGACTCTTCAGCGCCCTCTAGTTTCCGAAACGGTTAGTCCTAGAACAAAATTGTATACCTCCTTTTGTGTTTGGCACGTCGAAATCTATAAAATCGCATACTTATCATTTGTCATTTTCATTGTCATACTTATCATTTGTCATTTTTCCTTCATTTCTTTTGAGGAGTGTGGCACTTAGAAAAATTTTGAAAAATTTCAAAAAAAAAAAAAAAATTATTGAATGACTAATGGCTTATTGTAAAATGGCCATAACGCTGCAACATAGACTTTTGGATAACTCAGTTTTGCACTACGCATAACCGAATCAACTAATCAGAATCTTTCCCTTTCTCCCATTTCATGGAAAAGGAAAATTTTGATTGGTTAATTTTTTTATGCACTATGCATTATGCGTTATGCATGAGTCTGTGCTGTGGTCATTAGGGTCATCGAACCGATTTTTAGTATCGTGAACATTGGGCTTTAGGCTTAAATTTTGTGCCTTAAAATCTCGTTGTAAATGCCCTTTTATGCAAAGTTTTGTGCTACAATTTAAGCGCATATACTTTGTCTGTGCTCTGAGCTTTAAATCCAACAGTTTTTTTTAAGATAAAATCACACGATGCGGAAAAGATCTGCGGATTAGAAAATGCGTCATTCAAATATTCAATTAGCATTTTTCGAAATAATGCAGAATAACGCTGATTGATTGCTTTTATAATGCATTCTCTATTCCACATTTTCCGCATCGTCTGATTTCATTTTTATGGTAAAATTGCAAGGTGCAGAAAACGACTGCGAAAAAGAGAATGTGTCATTGAAATAACCAATTAGCGCTATTCGGAATAACGCTGTTTGATTGCTTCTATAATGCAGTTTTTCGCATCATGTAGTTTAATCCTTAGCCTTTCTCTATTAGACGGCTACGTTGGCCACGTTGGCTACGTTCAGCAGAACACAACAGTTTTGCAACCGTTTTATGATTCTCTGCTAAGATTGGACCGTTCCTATTGATCTAAAAGCATAACCCAATCAGCGCGAAAACAACTTCCAACAGTTGCAAAATAAATGTTTTGCTGAACGCATCCATTAAAACTCTTCTGTGAACATGTAAACTGCCAGTCATTCTGAGGAATTTTGATGTCTCGATAATCTTGATTAGTTTTGTGCAGTGGATTGTAGAAAGTATTGTGGGAAGGTAGTGTGTTGAATTTAATGTAATTTAACTACACACAATTAATCAAAATAATGGGATCGGTACGAATAATAAACGACGATCGTCATTTCAACGGCGAGTTGGCAAATGCCGGGCAAAAACTCGTCGTCGTAGATTTCACAGCAAGTTGGTAAGCATCTTTTAGGTTATACTCTCATTAATGTCTGTTAATTCGACTGTATTATGGTGTTTTAGAATTTTAACATGTTCTTGATCATTACACGCTTATGTATTGATCCGTGCATTTGTTCGAATACAACCAATATTTTATCATCCAACTTCGATAAAAGATTCGTATTAAAAATTAGAATGTGAATTGTTGAAAGTAAGAATTTAATCTTCTGTTCAATGAGAAATTTATCGATTTCGAAGAATGCGATAATAGGAACGCCTTTTTTGTTCTTAACAAAAATAGTCGCGAAATCGTGAGATAAATTGTTTACCCATGTTTTTATTTTTTTTTTTCTTTATCTTTGAATCTACAAATCATCTGTTCTGTTTTTTTGTCGGATATGCTTGACTACCTTGTTTTTTTTTTCTAAATAAGCTTTTATATTATATTGTATATAATATTTTATAATACTATTTGAATTGTAATTATGGTTTGAAAAAAAAATCAGTTTTTTGACTGATCATAACTTTTAATGAAATTATAATTTTTTAAAACTAAACGATTAATTTATAATCTATTTTAATTCCTTCATTTCCGAATAGATTAAAATAAAAATTATAAAAATCAGAATCTTGTTTCCCAAAGAAAGACTAAAGGTGTCAAAAAAATATGATTTGTCAGAATCTTACATTCTTTGCAATAATTTTTCTTTTTTTCATCTACTTTAAATCTAGAAAGGGTATGTGCGTGCGTGCGTATGCGTGTGTGTATGTGTGTGTTTGTGTGTGCTTTAAAACGTGTAAAACATGATTTTACACATGTAAAATCCTAATCCTGATTCTAGAGAAGTGTATTAATACATTATAATTTCATACCTCTTATGGAGCTTTCCAAGAGAGACAAAGTAACACTGAACCTTTTATCTTTATTTAATAGTGGTAAATAATAAAGCTGTAGGGATTTATTGTGTTATACTGGATAATATGTTTGTACTGCAGAACAAGAATTGTGATTCACACTAATTAATGTGTCTTGCCTGTTTTGGACTGTGCAGGTGCGGGCCTTGTCAGAGAATCGCCCCAATATTCGAGCAATTGTCTCTCAAGTATCCCAAGGCGGTGTTCCTGAAGGTGGACGTGGACAAATGCGCGGATACCGCCTCGATGCAGGATGTCAGCGCGATGCCTACCTTTATCTTCTACCGCAGACGTACGAGACTGGGCCACTGCCAAGGCGCGGATCCAGTGGGGTTGGAATCCAAGATCCAGCAGTTCTACGGCAGCGGCGATGCCGATGACGCGGATGACTCGGTCGCAGATTCCCTACCCGGCCATGTACGAAACACCGAAAATGCCTACTACCATATCTTTGGAATGATTTTACTCGCTGCGATTCTGTTTTACTGGAATAAGTACCAATGAAAAGATTGCTACTGGTTGCTGTTTAACGTTAACCGATTTGCAACATTTTCGCGAAATTTTCTATGGAAATTAATTCGGTTACTTCAGTTTAGTCTGACGTCCAAATCTGACGTCAGTTGTGTAGTTTCATAATTATATTTTTCTCGATAAATTATATGGTAAACGAAATTTTTTAATATCTATACTTTCAAAACTTCGTTGCGCGCTGAAAAAAGAAAATCTTAACTTACAGTTTTTATTAAATCCCCATATTAGAAATTTTTCTGGTTTTAACATTGTGATAACAATTATTTCATTGATTGTCCATTTCATGTGAAGAAATGACCTTGTTGTAAAGTTTATTGTAAAGTCATCATCCTCTTTTATATTAATAGCATATGCACAGAACACAAGAATGTTATGTATTTATCTTCCAAAAGTTCTCTTCATTTCACATAGCAGAATAACAGAAAACATCACTTTGTAAGCGTTCAATTGATTCACAAGAGGAATATAATTATAATATGAGACTTTCATAATATTGACATTCAATTTTATTGTCTAGTTGGCATAAACAGATTTTCTTAAAACAGAAAAGACTTAAAACAAATCTGAGTTTACACATCACATATATGTATTATTTGTATATGGAAAATTTTTCATGTACCTCTAGTTTTATTAAAAGAAAATTAATAAAATAAAAATTCTATGTAATAATGGAAACTATTTTATTAATTTAATGGTGTTAAATTACATTTTCTTATAATTGAATAAAAAGACCATTGAATGAGCGGTTAAAGTTTTACTTTTGCAAATATCAAAGTATCACCTTTGCGGAGAAATTGTTAACATAGAAAACATTTCAAATATGTTGATGAATATCAACAAATCTTGGTATGATGTTTAGTATTCATGCGCGTAAAACTTATATAAAAATTTTATGTAATTTAAAGACTTTTTACTTCTAGTAAATCTTTAGTAATTCTTTCTCTTTTAATTTAATTATAAAATATTATCAATGTATATCTGAAAGAAAATATATATATATAGTATTGGAAATAATATAACTTTGATATTTGCATGCGTGTTGATGATTTAATGACCTTTTATCTGTACATATTATATAATCCTATCTAACACGGTAATTACAAATAAATCTCTTAATTTAATATATGAACGATTAAAAAAATCAATAAGCTAGAGATTAACATTAATTTTCGTACTCTGCAATAGGCATGTAAATACTAATTTGCTAAGATTTGTATTGAAAAATCTATACTAAAAAATTAAAAGTGTGAGATACTCAAATAAAAAATATTTAAAAAAATTTTTATAATTTAAACAAATTAAATATATATATATATATACATATATATATATATAGAAAAAAGATAATATATACACACGCGCGCGCACATATAAAATGTACAACTCATTTTTATATTTACATTAAATTAGATAAAACTCATTTATCATTTTAATATCATGGAATTTGAAAACAATAAAAATAAAATAAAATTTTAAATCACATTGCATTTGTAATTTACTTCGTCTCTTCTATTTCGTTGATGATTAACCGAAGAATTTTCGGGGATTTTTTTTCAGATGGACCTGTCTAGTTTCATAATGAAACAGCAGTGCGAGTGTTTAAACGAATCGGATTATCACACTTTCTCTCAGTGTTTGAATTCGGACAGTGGGTATCTTCAGAGCGACGAGGACGAGCAGTTGATAATGTCCATCGCATTCTCGCAGCCTGTTAAGGTTCACTCACTTAAAATCAAGGCACCCATGGAAAATGGGCCGAAAAATATTAAACTATTTATTAACCAACCCAGAACGATTGATTTTGAAATGGCAAGCTCCAATACGAGCATTCAAGATCTAACGTAAGCTTTATATTATAAATCAGCAGGATATATTTAAATCGATATAGGATACAAAGAAAAAATAAATATCTTCAAAATATTTTCAAAAATTATTGAATATCTTTCTAATCGCAAATTAATCAGTTTAAAGTAATGATCAAATCCTTCTTTCATATCGATATATTTAGAAAAAAAAGTAGTAGCAACTTATAAAGTGACAAGTTTTATTTGTAGAATTAATGTGTGTGCGCGTGCATGCGTGCGTGTGTGTGTGTGTGTAAAATATAATTGAATAAGCTATTTTTAATTATTACAACGATAAAATAGTTTATACAATTATGTATATTAATTCTATATATAAAGCCTTTATAGTTGCTATCCCACTGTTTTTTTCTCTGAATATAGTTAAAATTTTTTTTTTTTTTAGAATATTGTTTCTAGTATAATGTTAGAACAGAATTTCTCTTTAACTTACTTTACTTTTTAAATAAAAAATTAATATGTGTGATTTCGGTGTAGATTGTCAACTAAGGACCTCGAGGAGGGAAATCCGATACCGCTGCGTTATGTCAAATTCCAGAATGTGCAAAATCTTCAAATCTTTGTGATAGACAATCAGAATGGCTCAGAAACAACGAGAATCGATCATCTAGTCGTAATCGGCTCACCAATTTCGACTACGAACATGGGAGAATTCAAGAGAGTGTCTGGCAAGAAAGGAGAAAGCCATTGAACGACTTTTCTGCAACAATAATATACCGGATACATCAGGAATTTCAATTTGCCTACTAACATTCCCCATTGTTTTTTTTTTGCATGGAAGAAAAGAGGAAAGAGAAATAGTTGTAACAAGACTTCAAACAATAAAATCCGATTTGAATACTGTAATTTTACTTGTAATAATTTATTAGTTCACGAAAGTAATAATTTATTTTAAGTAAAATCTATTATTAATTTATGAAAACATTTACAATTACGTTTAATATACAAAGGACGAGTCTTCAGCAAGGTATTATACAATTAATTTCACTTTAAAATGCTCGTCTGCAATTATACTTACTTTCTATCTTTCTTAATTAAGTAATTTGTGTAAATAACGCGTCGTTTAATTATTAATTAATTAACAGTTCCCGCATTTTCCTCCATTTTTATGAATTGGAAAAAAATTGCAAATTTTTTTCACTGACATAATCATTGCAAAAGAAATTTCGCTTTTAAAAATATAAACAAATGAAATATCTTTAGATTATAAATTTCTGATTTAACTTGGCAAGTAGATCATTTGAATACATACAGTATTTAGCTCTTACCTTTTTTACCTTTAGTTATAATAGCTTTTTATATTTGTTTATGTTTCTCAACAGTTTATCTTCTTTCATATAAAGGACTATGCCCAGTTTGGGCCCCGGCTGAAGGGCCCAGCATTGAGACCTAGTTAGGATTGTAAAGCATAAAAAAAAGAATTAAAAAGTTCCATATGCACATCTTTGTAAAATGAGTCCCTTGAGTGCTACAGCTGTTCAAAGTTCGCTATTATGACCATGTATCACCATTGTGTATCATGTAGGACTGATTTTATTCGATTTTGTCGAATCATTTAGTATCTGAAATATGTCCTTGATGAAGACAACTAAAATCTTTTTTGAACCCCAAATGAAGTGATACATATTAATCGATGAAGAGGGGAGAGAGACATTCAAAATATGAAACAAAAGATTAATTTTAATTGGTTTGATAAAGAAGCTGCGATTCAGTATTTTTAACTGTAATGTTTCCATTTTTCGTTTTAATACGTTTTCTTTTATAATGCACCAACAGGCATGCATGACATACATATTTAAATGTGTTGAGTGGGGCTCTTATGGAACTACTAGGCTTTTGTTTCAAAAAATCTAGCACTTTCCCAGCCAAATGTTTACGCGACTGGTTTTTAAATATTTTCCATCATGCCCACAGGATCTCATCGCGACCAATAGCTGCTTCGGGGTGACCCCGTACCAAAGGCTGGTTTATCCCGATTGATATATTCGCTGCTTGTCTATTTTTCACCCTCCCCTCTCCTCAGAGCGAACTCCAGGGGCATCGCCGTCATTACAAGCAAAAAATCCGAATTTCTGTGACATGCCGGCATGAATCGCGACCAGGGACTTAGTTGATTAATGAACTGTACCAAATACATTTTGGATATTACTTCAATGCTTTTGGTACAATCCGTTACCGCCGTCACTGCGGGGAGATGCTCTGGACGCAGAGAAATTGGATAAGATTACTAGTAGTACGTCATAATAGCGAACTTTAAATAGTTCTAGCATTCAGGAAACCTATAAAGTTGGACTTATAGAATTTTTTATTCTCTTTTGATATCTCAAAATTTTAGGCATGTCTCAAAGTTGTTCATCAACTCTCTCAAATGGAGCTCAAATTCCCTTATAAAACTGGGCATAGCCCTTTCCGCTTCTTATATTATAGATTTCCTATCTTCTTTCATATAGATCTCCAAAAGATCACGATTTATAACAAAATAAACTTTTTACAAAAATTCCTAAGTGCCCTTTATTGAGAGGCTTTGTGAATTCGCCAAATACCTCCGCATCGGCAAGCACGTGTCCATCGTTGATCCCAGGCTCTGATCGCAGCTGTCCTCGTCATGTTCTGTACCTGCGCTTTACCGCCGCACCTAAAGATGTAACGAAAAAATATGTATAAATAATATTTAAAAAATAAAGAATTATGGACTGTCAAGTTTTACAAACAACAATAAATGATTAGGGCTAATGACAATCGATACGCAATTGTCCATGCATAACTATAAATTTATATTCAAATTAAATTGTACAAACGAACATTTCGGCTCCATTTTGAGACATCTTCAGCGTTGAAATACAATATTAAATGTTTCGCTCTTCAAGGCACATAACGAAATTCCGTCACAAGCGCTTGGTAGGCCGAGTGATTTTATTTGAATAACAAGTGACGAATGTAATGATTTGTTCGGAATATTCAATTATTAAAATAATGTGTAATAGATGGATCATCGGTGCCATGAAAAAAGTTTCCTCGTAATAATTACAATTTGTGAATAATACATATTAAATAAAAGATTAAGTAAAAGAACGAACGTCAAAAGAATTGTCAAAAATTAAAATAAATCAAGGGAATTAACAGTACTGCAACATGTTGGGTTGGAATGGCAAATTAAACAATGGACACTAAACATGAATATAAAAGTACAAACATAGGTACAATAAATAAGCATTAAAAGTCAGTATATAAATTATTTAAAATGAAAACATGAGTGATGTAAATATTCAGTGTCCGTTTGCAAATTCGAACTGTTCTTTTGTCGTTTGGAAAAACATCTCCAAAATGAGGCGTTTATTTAAGAAATGTTCTTTGTTCAAAATTGTCACATTATTCTACTCAAAATCATAGTTTAAATTCATTCTATGTTCCGTAATTACTAATAGCGTGGTGGTATTTCCATTAATGTGATTTATATATTCGTTTACACAAGTTTTTAATTTCCTACCCGTCTGCCCTATATAAATTTATTTAATATATATGCATTAGTGTCTAATATCTAACTTTGATCATAATTGGCATTCCTTCGTATTTAGTTAGTATATATAAAGTTATTGATATACAGTGTTCCATAACTATTATTTGAAATATCTTCGAATCCATAAGATCTATAGGAAAATCTGTATAACTAAAATTGCACGATATAAAGAGGTCTATTACATGACGATAATAATTTTTGTCCAAGTGAAGACACTTTAGAGATTTCAGAGTCAACTTTAGTTTCTTAAATGGAATTATATGATTTTTTTATGTAATATGATTCCTCCAGTTTATTTTGTTTTATACCAATTGCATCAATTGATTCATCTTATTATTCTGTTCATAAAAGTAAGATATCAAAAAATTATTAATTTACCAATTATTTAACATTTTATGTCAATATGTGTCAGAATAAAGTATAAAATATCTCATAAAGTATTGATTTTTCGATACTTTTATCTTGAGATTTTTTTTTGTACGCAGAATAACTAGAGGAATCATATTAGGAATCATAAAAAATGAAGTTGATCTCTGAAGCGCTTCCACATAGACAAAAATTATTATCGCCATGTGATAAATTCCTTCATATCATGCAATTTTAGTTATACAAATTTTCCTCTAGACCTTATAGATTCGAAGATATTTCAGGTGCTAATAGTTATTGGGCCACTCTGTATTATTATGGATTGTTAATACATATTATATATCTTTTTATATATTTTTTGTTAGTTGATAATCGATATAATTTATGAATTAATAATACCTCGTGCACTGCTTCACTAGAAGCGGCTGCCTTCCTAAATACAAATGTCGTATCGTGTCCACGATCTGTCCGCTGTGCATACAACCTTCAACGGGATTCATTTCAGGCGTAAAAACTAACTGTTCAGGTTCCACTCCATATTCCAGCTGCAATCACAAAATGATAATAGTAAATAAATATACATACGTAATACATATGTATATAAATTAACAACCAATTTCGAATATTTTAATAGAAATGATTGTAACAATATTCTCTTTTTGTATGAATAAGCAATTCTCACCTGCAATGGGAGGTTCTGATAAAACAAAATCGGGGAGACTATAGCAGTGATACTGTTGCCTTGATGTAATTGTGGAATCATGATCTGATTTGGCAGCAGGCAGCATTCATCTGAAAGAAACTTCTTTACTTCAAAACTTTCTTCGGAAATATAAGACATTACTGTTGATTCCAAATTGATAAAATGTGTATCTGATGTATGTCTGATAATGTACATAAATATATGTGATAATAATCGTAACTTTTGTAGAAGAGAACAAGGTTTAATCCAACACTTTTATCATTTTTAGTGTATTTCTAGTATCTTTTATTTATACAGCAGCTTTTTCTTAAACACTTCAACTCTTTCCTTCGTTTAGATCACATATTTCTCGAACTCTTTAATTAACTGTTATACCCAGCAAACAAGAATGGATTGAAATAGATTAAATGGATTTAGATAAGAGAAATACAGATTCATCAATATTAAAATCCTTTTGAATGTTAGAATCCTTTTCAATCCTGAATTTTCATTTATAGGAATTGCATGAAATAAATGTCTATTTCCTTTTCAATCTTGAATACATTTTTACTCATTTATAGGAATGGCATGGAATATCTTTCTATGCTTTTCAATCTAAAAATAATATTATAGGTGAATACTGCTTAATTTAAATTTTTGAATAGAGAAGGAAATGCAGTTTTTCAATCTAGTTGAATGTAAAAATAATATCAGCCATTTCTGTGCATCGTAAATACTGCTAAATTCAAAATTTTGAATAGGAAAGAAAATGCAGTTTTTTTATTCAATTGAATAACAAAAAATTTTTCTTTTAAATATGGACCATGAATACTATTCAATTCAAAATTGTGAGTAGAAAATCCATTGTTTCATTTAAAAATGCTTTATGAATACTATTTTATTCAGAATTATGAATAAGAAATTTTTCATTTTAATTCTGAGTTAAAAAAAAACAGTTGTATCGTAAAAATATATCATGAATTCTCCTTCATTTAATAGTTAAAAGAAACATAAAAGAACTACCTAAATATGTACAATAAATGTAATATATAAATTCCTCATTTTTAATTAATAAATTAATTGCTTTTATGTATATTTTATATTAACACGTTTCTTTTATTATACAGCTAGAGTATATTTTTTGTATAAAAGTTTTAAAATAATAACTATAGAATTTCATGTAATTACTGCTTTAATTTATTTAAACTTTTACATATATAAAAATTTTTTATATGGATTCCAATCCATTTTCATAGATTTAAAATACGGATTCGGATGGATTGAAAATTTCCAACCCATTTCAATCCATTTTCGTTCTGAGTAAGTAATTATTTCCAGTAATTTAATTAACTGGTGAAGTGAAGGTTTCCTGCGAATATGCTTCATTGGATTGCAATATTATCATCGGTTTTTCCACCACAATTAATCCAGTCTCTTCGTCCACGTTTGGATTGATCTGAAGGAAGACCTCAGTTTTCTCACTTGTTGAACTCTCCACGTTAGCTATGAAGTAACTTGATTCGCGCTTTGACCTCAATTTATTATCCTTTTTGTCCTTTATATTCTCATCCTTCGTATCTTTTACATTTTTTCTATGCTCCACATTCTCCATATCCGTTCCATTCGTTATACTTTTCACGGTTTCCGCACTATCACTCTTAGTTATTTCGCTCGGGAAGAAATGCGTTCTAGTGTTCAACGATCTCTCAACCCTCTCTGCTTCGCGGATCAGATCGATGAAGAATAAATCCCTCGGCGACATAGGCGTCTTCGAGGATTTTATCTCATCTTCCGAGAGCGATACCGTTACCAGCTTCAGATAATCCTGCAGGGGACTTTTCTGAGCATAATCACTAGCGATGCTTAAGCGATTTTTCTCATTTTCTTCGACAAACACCACTCCATCAGTATCTTCGATGTTTTCACCTGATATTTGTTTATGTATCATCAAAGGCGGTAGATCCTTCCTGAGGTTTTCTCGATCGATTTTAGATTCCGATTTGTGAGAATCATTCCATTTCTTCGTACCTAGAAATTCCTCGCCTTCAGATGATATCTGATGAACGCTCAGGGGTCTCCTCTCTTTGTCCGAACCATATTTCGAGATCGCATTAATTTCAAGACTTTGTTTAATTTGGAAACGTCTCCAGAAAATTATTAATCCGCACATAATTACGATCCAAATCAGAAACGCGACTGCCCAGAAGAGAAAAGACCAATACGAAGGCCAGTATGCGAATTTGTAACATATGGCCCAAATTAAGGGACAGAGAACAAACCAGTAGACTACGAACACGCTCAAGGTTGACCAAGGAAGCGATAGGTGCTGATATCTCTTCAGTCTGGACTGTTGGATCGTGTAATTCTTTTCGTGCAGTCTGTTTTCCTTCAAGACTAGGGAGTCTTTATGCTTGATTGCAAGCTTGGTAGTCATTATATCTTCATGGATTTCACTTTTTCCTTTCGTGCGTGCGTTGTATTTTTCTTAGAATGTATTATTATTATTATTATTATTATATTTGTATTGTGTTGAGAGAGAAATGTAATAATTGAATTGTCACACACAAGGTATATTATTTGCAATTCTTCTGATCTATGTACTTGCTGTTGTATTATTGCGCGATTATATTACTGCAGAACTGTTACACATAATAGCGTTTAATACTGCTAATATGGCTATCAAAATTATTTAGGATGTGGTATTTTTATCAGACTTCCTGACCACAAGTCGTAGTAATAATCAAATACACGACAAGAATTCAATTTGTAATAAAATCTATTTGCTTTTAGACTGAGATTTATAAATTAATATCGTTTCTAGATATAAATTTTTTTAAATAAAAGCAAATAGAAAAAATATTACAGCGAAACAAAATAATTTTTTTTTAACTTGGTTGTTCAATTATGACAAAAAATGTATCAGACATCAATCTTATTTTTTTAAATTAATCTTCATAGAATTAAGTCATTAAGAGTTTCATATATTGCAATAAATAAAAATCATATTATATTCATTGTCAATTAATTTTTATATTCACTATTAAGAAATTTCAAGAAGTTAATGTACGTACCAATCAAACCATCGTCCACCTGTTGCTGCGTATCTCCGTTAGGTTGTACCAATTTTGATAACAAGCAAAATAGTAAGGCTAAAACGTCCAGGTTGTCTGCGCTGCGAAGAAACACTGGGAGACACGACGGGCGAAGTAATCCCCATATGCGTATGATGACCAACAACTCCCGAACAGTATTCAAGGCTTTGTGATCTTTAAGAAGCTCATACTGCAAAACAAAATAGTGAATTAAAGCTAATATGAAAGATGATATGAAGATTTTAATTTTAATTAATTTTAATAGAAGGCTATAGTTATTTTTATATTATATGAAACCCAATATAAATTCAATAACGGATATTTGGTATCACAAAAAATTATTTATTCATAAAAATATAGAAGATATAATATAGAAGAAATAGACATAAAAATCTAGATTTAAGGATTGTTTTATAATTTTCGGAAACAATAGATTCGCTAGAAGTACCTACCCCGCCAGTCTTCACTTGCATCCTCTGTTCAGGTAATCTGGCCAGCAAGTTCAAAGCTAAGTCAGCAACCCATTGAATAAGTTGCTGCAACGATTGCAACGTGCTCGGTTCTACCGTAAACTCTTTCGGATCAAGATGCAGCAACACCTAAAATAAAACATTAAGTAATTTAATAAGTAATTTATTTCAATTAACTATTTTTAATTTGTTAAAAAACAATTATATATTTAATGTCATATTTTGTTATGTTATATCTAAGCTTTACTAGTCATTTTTATTCTACGGTAAATCATTGAATGGAAAAGAAAGTAATAGAAGAATAGATGAGAAATTTGATTCACGGAAATTCAGCTGGTCGAGATGCTTGAGGTAGAACTTTGATTTAAATACCTTATCAACATCAATAATGACGTCAGTTATCACCGCAGCTAAACTTTCCGCTGGCCCTTTGTCGTGGGATATCAGGTCCGATGGTCTCAGTAAAGATTTGAAGGCAGTAGCTACCGAATGTATCATCAGTAACGATGACAAATCCGCCGCCTTGTTCTGTCCTGTTACGAGCATTCTGAAAATAATAATTACAGATGTTAATCTTTCTGGGGTTTGTAATTTGAGATAATCTTTTCATATCATTTCAATTCCTAAAAAGATGTTCAAACGCACTTCTTAAATCTAAGTCCGAGATATTTTTTTATTTTTTAAATCAATTTAAAAACTAATTTAGAAGAAAATTTATTCATATCAAAAACATCTTTTCACGTATACAAGTATCTAGTTACACACCTATATAATGACGTCTTGATGGATAAAAATAGGATGTAATGATATTGCTGTGTAGATTGTAATTGTCTGTTAAAGGAAACGTCTAATCGCTCACACAATGCTTCAATCATGGACGATCTCAGACATAAAAGTATGTCCAACCAATCCAATCCAGTCACCAAGCAATACTCGAGTAATGTACAAGCATAGTTTAGCGACATCGACGTACCTACGAAATCACATATATTGTTTTGATCATATTTCGCAATCTCGCAGAAATATCCCGTAAGAGAATGAATGTTAATGAATTAATTTCAAATAAAGAAAATTTAATTGTATACCTGTAGTACCGTCTGGCAACAATTTATAGAGATACATATTGCCCTGAGTGTCGCACGCAAGAAGTACACATCCCAGCCATGAAAGATCCATATGAGCGATAGATACAGAATTCTTGAAGTATTTGTTGCTAGGCTCATCTGGGCGCCAACTTGTATTCAGGGATGAGAACGCCACTTCCTTCAAACAGTCCAAACGATTTAGGCAATGCACCGACGAGTCCGCTAATGCTATTATTACATAACTGGGAGGCGGTAAAGTTGTCACTATAGATAGTTTTGTAGTGGCTATCGCTGTGACCGGTGACTGGCAACGATACTGCGATTGATATTGCCAAACCTATATGCCAAGAATAAAGTAATCATACATCTATATTAAAAATAAATATATTATTTAAAAATATATAAATAGTATTTAATAATAGTACAAATACATTATTTATGTCTATTTCTATTCAATGTGTATTAACTGTAATCTCGGTCTAACTTACTTTTTATCTTTAAATATATTATATATTATAATACTCAGATGTGTCTTGTCTCGTTTCTTTATATTTGCCACTCTTAAACACATTTGCCACACTCTCACACGCCAAAATTTACTAAAAACAAAAATATTGATTAATTAATTGAATACTTACGACCGTCTTGAAAGGTTCTAACGTCTTTGGCTGAAATAATTTGTGAACCGGTTGCGACTTCTCCCGCAACTCCCACACCTCAACAAATCCACCGCTCTCACTGTTTGCCGCAATAACCAGAGAATCGGCATCTTCTCTGACCACAAATTTTAAATGAGTTACAACTGTACCTGCAAAAGAGTATAAAAGATCTATGCTTTTTATAGCTGAACTTTAACACAGTTCATCGTTTCTTTTTTTCGATTCTATCTATGAAATAAAAAAGAAAGAGGAACTGTGTAAGTTCAGCTAGAAAAAGAATTGTATCTATAAAAAAAAATGAACCGTTTATATTGTCATAAACTACTCAGCCATTAGTCTTACATGAATTGTCCTTAGGTGCCCCATCTTGCAGAAAAAAACTCGGTAAAGCTTGCGAGGTGATGGTGCACTTGTCATCATTCTTACGCACCAGTACTCTAAAACATCTTATGGGCAAGCAGATGCTACCGCTACTAACCGCAACGAGAAAGTGGCCGTCTGGAATTCAAAAAACAAATTATCGCAACATCCTCATATCATCTGCATTCGCAAATAGTTTTATGAGAAAAAATACTTTTTCCGTAGCACAAATCAACCGCAGTTATCCTGTGTCTCGTGTTGCCTAGACTCTCCGTCGAATAGCAAATCGGATTTTGAAGATCCTTAGTGATCATGATTGCGCCAACCATGCCCGTCGTCGATACCACCAGCACACCTTCGGCGGCTCTTCCACCAAATTGCCTCACGGAAGGTGCGAACAGTAGGTGATTAAATTTCTCGCTATAATGAATGCTATCTTTCTTTTCTGTCACTAAGCCTGTCTATGGAATTAATAAAAGAAGACATTAAAAGAAAAGATAAAACTATAAAAGTAATATATTTGTTTCAAGTTTTGAACATGTATCTACATGTGACTTGAATATTTTTTTAAAACCCTAATAAAATTTTTCTTAAAATTTTTAGACGAATTAAAACACTTTTCAGAAATATTGAGAAAGTCTATGGACGGCATAGCGATTCTTATATTCAAGACCGTCTTAAGTATAGTCTTAAGTATAGTCTTAAAAGGTCACGAATCAATCAGAGGGCCATATTAGCATCTTAAGACATTATTTAAGACGATTTTGAAATAAGAACGGATTATGAATATCAGCCTGTATCTTTTCATAGAATTTTTCATAATTTTCATAATTTTTCACGTGATTCTATAATTTCCTCTATATTTTACTTCCTGAGATTTTGTACAACATTTCATCTCAAATTAAATATCTTAGAATATTTCAGAATTCATACGAAGAAATCTAGAAAAAATGCTTTCGTGGCATTTCTGAAAAATTTTTTAAATAATTATAAAATCATTCAAAAATTCTGAAATTTATGTAACTACCCTAGTGGAAATAAATTGCTGAAATCATTGAAATCTATGTCAATTGATCCACTTCATACTGAAATGAACCAATTGATATAGATTTCAGCGATTTTCAATGATCTCAGTGATTTATTTCTACCAGGGAATTCTGAAAAATCCTGAGAAAAATTCTGAGAAAAATATTCACTAGTTATAAAACTGTAATAATACAAAACAATAATAAAATGATAATCTAATATAGTTTCTATCCTGGTAATACAGGTAAAAAAAAACAAAACTTTGTTGTCTAATCCTATCAGTTTGTTCATCTAGATACCTTTTTACCATTGTGAAACCATGCTGCACCTAGTATGTGCTCACCAGGGAAATATGCAGAACCTATTAATACCCAATCATTCAAAATATGATCCTTGAACATCCATAACTGTACATTTCCAGCTGTATCAGCCATTACCAACTTGTCACCAGGCAGATCCCATTCTAATGCAGTAATGTTGTGTTTATTCGAAAGTACTCTAGATAAATACAAGAAACATTTATTATTACAGTTTTATCTTGACTTTCTGGCTTTTTAAAAACAAATTGACAGATATTTAATAAGAGATTAGATAAGATATGTATTGTAATATTTCTTTAAAGAATTACAATTTATTAGAAAATTTAAAAGATCTTACTATGAGCAAAATACTTACTTATGAGCATGCCATGGCATATTTAAATCTGCTACATAAACATGGCAACCCCGTGTCTTGCCACTGCTGTCATCTAACTCTGTCATTGTAGTAAACGCCACTATATTCCGACTGGATAAGGAACACAACGATTGTCCATTGTATAAACTAAGAAAGCAAATTGTTAATTAATTCAAGTATTATACAAAATGTTATATATTAGCTGTGAAATGTTTTATTTATAGGTCTATTTTTTATATAGTTGAAACTAGTATACACTTTTGGAATAAAATGAAATAGATATATTTGGCATTTAATGAAGCTAAGAAAGAAAGTTTTAGTGCAATTTAGTGCAGGAATAAAAACCAAGCTTTATATCTTTAAAAAATATACCATTCTTGATTGGAAAAAAATTTGGAAGAACTCCTTCTGTTGACGGTATACAGCAGATCCATGTTTCTTCGTTTTCTTAATTATTCTTGGAGAAATACAATACTATATCTTTATAATCCTTTTCGAATTAATGAGGACGTTAAAATGTTTTCTTCAGTCTTCATGAATAATACCGCTTGGTTAGGACTTCTCTTTTTTTAAAAGCCCATTATTTTTTGTACGACTCTTGTAGATGGTCACAATAAAGGTTTAAACACAACAGGCATAGGCAATAGGCACAAGCAACAGGGAATAACGAGCCATCCAATCAGAACTCTGGTGTGTAAGTTCAATATTATATCCTAGAGTTCTGATTGGATGGCTCATTATTCCCTGTGCCTATTATGTTTAAGCCTTTAATTCTTTTTCAAAGGAATGAAATTGTGAAATGTCTCTGTTGTCGATTTTTCTACCAGAGAGAAACCTGAGAGAGAACATGACGGCCCAAAACCTGTAAGTGCAAAATACTGCCGCGTACTACTGCCCTCTGACAAAGTGAATGTAAATTACATAGCAACATCCACTTTTCTTATGATACGTCGTCCATTTTGGAAAGTGGACAATGTACCGTAATAGAGTTTCCGGGTTTGCATCAACTTGGGTTGGAAAATGCTTTGCTATTGGTTGACGTTACACGCTCTACAATAGCAGGAGAGCACGAAACATTATTACTTCAATCCAGATTGATGCAAACTCGGTCTGGCCGAAAACACCATAAGTAAAGTAAACATTGCTATGTAGTTTACATCCACTTTGTCAGAGGGCAGTAATGCACGGCAGCATTTTGCGGTTACAGATTTTGGGCCATCACGTCCTCTTTCAAGTTTCTCTAGAAATCTATGGTTTTCTTACACCGTGTTTTGAGTTTCGAGTTTCGAGTTTCGAGCCTACTTTTTTCGTGACCGACCACTGACCGCTTGAGTTTGATCTCGTTATTACTCTGTGACTGATCCTGTTGTCACAAATGTTAAGCAACATCATCAAAAACGGTCTCTTACTGCACGGTAAGAGTGCACTGCTTAAAAGGTAATTAAAGTCTTCAATTAAAATTGAAGTCTTTGATCAAATTAAAGTCTTTTTGTCTTCATTGCTGAAATATATATATATTCCAAGTTTATTATATGAAAAGCAAATATACGATTTCTCAAAAGAGCTTTAAATTAAAAATTTGTATTTAAAAAATTAAATGTTTAATTCATAATTGTGTGTGTGATCATGAAATATTTCCAAAGAAATTGAAATCAAAATTTATGAATTGAATTTGATCTTAATTGAATAAAACGAAATTAATGTACACTTGAATATTTTATGTTGGCTCTTATAGGTATTATACTTTCATTTATTTTCATTAGAGTTTAATTTCGATTATTTGTTGAAATTTGTTAAACAATTTAATAAATAGTGTAAGAAGATTCACTTCTTACAGATGCAATGTACGACAGATATCACACAATAGTAAAAATAGATGGGATGAGGTAGCTTCAAGGAATCAAAGCACAACATTGGAAAGCGAGGATGACTTTGATAAGCCAATAAAATATTCCACGTCCAAAGCTGCTACTATGAGAATTGAAGAGTATCGCGATCCATATGGAGATAGTAGACCATGGTATCAGGGATATGTTGTATCGGCAAGCTTAGCTGTCTTTCTAATTTATTTCTGTATCTTAAGAGAAGAGAACGACATCGATAATTTAATATATTGTGACTTGAACGAAACGTTAAGCAAAGTGAAGAGGGAAGAAGAAGAGAAACTAAAATTTAAGTGAAAATATATTTATTTATCTGAAATAGTATTTTTCGATTTGTCTTGCAAAATTCTTTGTTAGATAATTGTTTTTGTTGTATAATGTACATGCGCTTTCCATAAGAATTATCTTAGCAGACATTTGATTTAATGTACAGTAATATTTATCTAAATGCATTCTGTACAGAATAGCAGGAAAGAGAATTTATTAAGAAAAATGTCTTTTAGTGTATAAATAAAAAATATTAACACATTTAATGTAATGTTTCTTTATAACGGATACAATAAATGCCCCCATATAACATTATTCAATATTGTGCACCACTCGATGGATGGATGGCAAATAATCGTGTCTGGAATACACTTTTTCCATGTGAGCCTCCAAGGAGCCACAACCATCGTCATCGATAATACTGTCACTTCTTGTGTACAGGAAGGATGTAATCTGATGTCAACAATACCTGTCAAAATTATTTGCAATATTAATATTTTCTATCTGGCAACAATGAGTTATTACCAAGGGAAAATTAAAAAGTAGAGTGAAAAGTTAGAGTGAAGGAAAATTGAGCCGAGAATGCATATGTCATTTCGAAGGCAGTTGAAAATTTTCATAGATGAAATCGAAAGACTTGCAGGCTGTTACAAAATGTGCTGCACGATTATATTTAAAAAAATGATATATTTTGCTAATGTGCATTGCACGTGAAGAATAAACAAATAAATTCACTTTATGCAATTTTCTTTTATTTATTTATCTTTCCTCGAGATGCAATGTATATTTATGCTACTTACTGCAAGTGCAGTAAGACCGCAGCAACCATTTCCAAAAGGTATAAACAGGCATAACTTGCAGATAGAACTTCAGTCTGGTCAGAAAACCACCAAATGCGATGGACACTAATCTGAGCTGCAACCAAGCTATACATAATACCACAATTATATCTCGGAAGAATTTCCGAGAAAAGGATTAAAACCAGATATTCTTACTAGAGTAAATACAGTGTAGTACACCCACGTTGTAGGCATTAGGAACAAGAGAATGGTGAATGACAGCGTCCCGACGAACAACTGGTCCGTCTGATACAGACAAGAATCCACTCTTTCGCGCAAAGGATTTTTCTTTTTTCCAAGGAAAAGTCTAAAGAGAGCCGTGATTCCTCTAAGCTGGATATTAAAGAGCCTGTAACGAATTGTAGCTTTTTTGAATTATTTCAAATCAATAATTTATAACATATAAAAAAATCAATAATTTCATCGCATTAGAGAACGTGAAAACATTATACCTTGCTGCATAAACGTAAATGCAATACGTGTGGAAGCTGACAAGAGCCAGAAGGTCTGCAATGATGGATATTTGAAATGTGATACCGAGCTTTCCAAACAAGAGTAGTACTTCGAATGCAAGATCCAAAAGTGGCTTTAAGAATATTAAAAATGTCCACCAGAGCTGTATATGATACAAGAAAAACTTGCCCATAGTATTGTTTAAAGCGTGATTAAGCTTTAGACCAGCTGGTACACCCATCAACCAATTAATTAGCTCCTTCAAACTCTCCACGACTTTCTGTTGAATAAAAATTTCAATTATTAAAGCTGGTAGAAACAGATAGAATCAAAAATGTATCTCAAATATATAATATTCAATTTTATATAATAGACAATTGAGCCTTTTATTTTCTTCTTTGTTTCAAATTAATTTTAATTCTCAGATAAAATTTGTTAAATTAAATAATTTAAATTCAAAATATATTTAATGAAATTTGTACTAGAAAGAAATAAATATAAAAAATTATTTTGTTAATGTACGTAATAAGTATATCTAAACTTACCTCTGCATTGTTTAGAAGGAGCTGCGATGGTTGATCTTCGATATAATATCTCAGTAATTGCAATACGAGGATTCCTAATGCTATATCTATTATAATTGCTAGAGCATAGTTTCCAGTTTTCAATTTAATACCTCTATTCTTTATAATTGTTGCTAACATCCACTTGACATTCTCGAGCCAGTCATGGATATGTAAGCCAAGGGAAGAGTACTTCAAAATCGGCAATAATCTGTCAGTTGCCTTGGATAGAAACAAGACAAGATGCAAATGAAATGATACGTGATAAATCAACAGAGTCTCCCAGATGCAAACAAATCTAGACTTGATCTTCAATTCGTCCTTTTTGCTCTGTACAAGCTTAGCAAGCTCGTGAAAGTGATCGCCTGACGTTGCCTTGCTCTCAAACAATTCTGTTCCCTGCAGAGCTCGCTGGTTATACAAAACAATCATCGTGCGCATTGCTGACAGATCAATTTTTTTATTGTTAAGAATGATTTTCAATAGACAATATTCTTTGTCCCGTCCATCTTCTGAAGGCTTTGTCACAATGTGTATCCAGTTTGCGTACTTGCGTTCCAAAAATTCGTCAATAGCCTCGTTCTCATTGGAATGATATCCAATAACGTCTAACGTAGACTTAATTGATTCTACTGGATCCGTCTTACGCAAACTGATGATATAAAACTTTTTTAAGTCACTGCAGGTGTCATATATTACTTTACCAAGTACATAGCCGGATTTTTCGGTGCATAGCGTTTGTGGAATAAATATTAACAAATTGTTCGCCATTTTTACAGCTAAAGATTACCCAGTCAAGCAAATCTGTCGAAAATAAATTTTGTCAAATGGTCGCTACAAATTTTATTATTTTTAATACCTTTTTTCTTACTATTTTCACGTTACAAGAGGCGCAGTATTATTTCATTATTCAGTCGTTTTAAGAAACTTTCTCTGATAAGAAGAAATATTTTCCTATACAAAATTCCTTTGTATTATATGGTAATTATATAGCAAAAACGAATCCGAGTCTCTTGGAGCCTCTTTCATTTACTTAACCTCTTTCACTTTACTAAACTCAAATGTCTTAGCTCAGCCTATAGTTGTAAGAATTGACCAATCACAGTCCAGTATGAAGAGAATATTTAACTGTGATTGATCAATTTTTATAAATTGTATTGTAGAACGAGATGTAGGTTAGGTTTGGTTAGAGTTTAGATTTAGGTTAGAGTTAGGTTAGGTTAGTCGCATCTGTCGACCGCATGGCTTGACGTGTTTTACATTCATCAGTTCTTTATCGTGGTTTATCGAGTAGAGAACAATGTGTTGAATATTATGATCGCGAGTGCATCGATGAGACAAATTTAAAAGTGTCACTCTCATATCTGTTACAAAATGGATAGCGATAATACAAAGAAACTAAAACGTAAAAGGAAACAAAACGAAAAAGAAAAGGCCGACGGTCAGTTGCCAGCAATTCTGAGATGGATTTATTTTTGTTTCTCTTAATATCACCCTTATCGTTCATCTCCGAATGATTGGATTCATTTCTGTATAGCATTAATGTTGTTAAAATATTTCATTATTAATATAGACTCTTCCTGTACATACATCTGTATATAAAATCTGTATAATA